TTGCTTAGGAAAAAAGACCCTAGAAGTAGGTGAAGTCCAGACCGACTCCCTCTCTCCCCCTGAGACTGCTGAAAACGTCACTAGTGAGTGTGTTTAGGTCTGGGGCAAATGGCTTTGTATCCAGCCAGAATTAAAGCATCAGCTGGACAAAGCTTTCTCTTTTCTCCCTCCTTCACATTCCTAGGATGCTAAACATCTTGACCATCAGAAACTAAATGGTGCTGCCTCTTGGACGGAGATCACTGAGGGTGAATGAGACAACTGTGATTTAAAAGACTGAAAGACGTTTTCCCGTGTGCTTTTGTGCCATCTTGAGTGTCAGAGACAGATCCCTGCAAGGCCCTTTCTACCTTGCACTAAGAAATCAGCACGGAGTGTCACCTAACTGGATGGAGGACATTTAGTGCTTCTTACTTGCAGAATTTGTCCCATTCGACCCACCCCAGCATCTTCTCGAATATTTGGAAATACTTCTCTCCAACTCTGTGCCCGTAGCAATTGGCATTGTTTTGCTTGTAATGTTTCTGCATGTGGCCAGCATTATAGAATGCTCCAGGCCAGAGAATGGGATTGTTCCCATGATGCCAGGGCCTGGTCAGGGAAGTGATGGGACTTGTTCCCTTTGAGGCAGAGCTACAGAGAAAGTAGGGCTGCTTCTTGTCATGTGCAAGGCATTCATTCTTTCCTCAAAGCTCAGAGGAAAAATTATATGCTGTGAGTAGGTACGGTGGCTCATGCCTGTAATCCCAACACTTTGGGAGGCCACTTTGGGAGGCCAAGGATTGCTGGAACCCAAGAGTTCAAGACAAGTATGGTCAATATAGGGAGACCCTGTCTTTACAAAAAGGAAAAAAATTAGCCTGGTGTGTGACACATGCCTGTGTTCTCAGCTACCTGAGAGGCTAAGGTGAGAGGATTGCTAAAGCCTAGCAGTTTGAGGCTGCAGTGAGCTGTGATCACACCACTGCACTCCAACCTGAGTGACAGAGCAAGACCTTGTCTCAAAAAAAAAAGATGCAGGGCTTCTTACCTAGGGAACATGGGCTAGGTGAATTTGAGCCACTTCCTGTTTCTGGGATTTGTTTTGTTAGTCCTTTAGAGCAGGTGCCTTAGATAGCTAGCACCTTTTGTAGAACACTGAAGACATTGCCACTTGGAATTAGAGATTGGTCAGTATTCAGCATTGACTCACGACTTAAAATTTGTCTGCTTGTTGTATTTTATTTTGGGGTGAGCACTAGGCAGAGGGATATAGCAGTTCTGTTTCCCAAGGCTTTGTTGTTGACTTTGTTTTGTTTTGTTTTGTTTTCAACTTTTTGTTACAAAAATTTCAAACAGAAGTAGAGAAAATCCTCTAATGGATCCCAGTGTGCCCATCCCTCAACCTCCCCAGTGATCAACTCACGGCCAATCTTGTTTCCTATTCTTCAACCTGCTTACTTCCCTCTGGATTCTTCTGCAACCAGTCCCAGATATTGTGCCATTTTACCCACGGTTGTACTTCTTTTTTGGATATTAAGATTTTTAAATGCACTTTTAAATGCTAACAAAAAATAAAAACTTGAAACAAACAAAAAAAAAAGTGTGGCATCTCCAATTGAGCATCGTGTGTTGTGTTTCTCTTTCCGGATATGTTGATGTTCTCCCTGGTGCCTTCTGCCTTTACAGTGCAAGCCAGCAGTAAGCCGCAGCAGGTCTTCCAGTTTAAGTCTTACAGTTGAAAGTGCTTTAGAAAGCTTTGATTTCCTGAACACCTCTGATTTTGACGAGGAGGAGGATGGTGATGAGGTTTGTAATGTTGGCGGAGGTGCTGACTCAGTATTTTCAGACACTGAGACTGAGAAACACAGGTAAGTCTGAAGTTAGTGTCTCCTTATATTTCTCCTATCACAGCTGATACAGTAGTTCTTTGTTACTGTCAGAGGGGACCTGGTACACATTTCCAGGAAGATAAAACTCTCCACATGAGTGACCAATTGGCTTACAATTCCTTTTTATTGTCAAGTGCAATAAAAGCATCAATATTATTCATCTCTTTGGGGTTGCTTAAGGGAAAATAAATATCTTTATATTTCCTCTTTATAAATAGGAAAATTTTGTATGAGTGTTTATATACACATACATGTGTACACATTTTTTTTTTTTTTTTTAGGAGAGAGTCTTGCTCTGTCACCGAGGCTGGAGTGCAGTAGTGCGATCTCAGCTCACCACAACCTCCACCTCCCAGGTTCAAGCAATTCTCCTGCCTCAGCTTCCCCAGTAGCTGTGACTACAGGTGCTTGCCACCACACCCGGCTAATTTTTGTATTTTTTTAGTAGAGATGGGGTTTCACCATGTTGGCCAGGCTGGTCTTGAACTCCTGACCTCAGGTGATCCACCCACCTTAGCCTCCCAAAGTGCTGGGATTACAGGTGTGAGCCACCACACCCAGCCCTCACATGTGTCTTATAGGGTTCAGTGTCTACAACTTGACCCCATGCAATTAATTCCAAATTAACTAGGTATACACATTTCTGGAGAACTCTTACTGGATGACAAATTTGGACCTGGTTCTCCCTGGTTTGCACTTTACTTCCGTTGCCTTTGTTTTGTTGAGCTTCCCTTTCCCAACCCTTTATGCTTCCTTCAACCCAGTGAGTCTTTGCATGAGACTGAGTTCATCAAGGCATGCATCAAAGCCAAGTTTAAGTCCCATGGTGCATATTTCTCTTGGAATGTAGGAGAGGATGACCGATGACTGCCACTGGTTCTGCAGCAATCTAGGTGGAGAATGTGACCTTCTCTGGAAGCAGCGGATGAAGGTGAAACATTGTCACCTTCACCATCAGGTGTCCTTGTGCAGCCAAATCGCATTTTGAGAACTAGAGCCTGGGGTCCAATTTTATAACTACAGATAAAGCAAAATAAGTACAGTGGAACGTACCCACCTCCACCAATTGCTGTGAAAGAAAACACACTTTCCCAAAGTGGGGGTGGATTGCCCGCTTATCTTTACCTTTGGCACAATATGACGTAAACAGGTTTCAAGTTACAGCAAGCTATGACTTCAGCCTTCACAAATCTCTCTGAAAGATGTTAGTTTTTTTTGTTGTTGTTGTTGTCCCTGAAAGGTTTCCTTTTTCAAAATAAAACCAGGAAAAAAACCATGAGAACTTGAATTTACCCCTTAAGCAAACTGGGGACATGGCAAAGAAAATTTATTAAATTAATGTAATGTTTAAATTATCCTACATTTGGCCAGGCATGGTGGCTCATGCCTATAATCCCAGCACTTTGGGAAGCCAAGGCCAGAGGATTACTTGAACTCAGTAGTTCAAGACCAGCCTGGGAAACATGGCAAAATCCCATCTCTACTAAAAATACGAAAGTTAGTTGGGTGTGGTGGTACGCACCTGTTGTCCCAGCTATGTGGGAGGCTGAGGTGGGAGGATTGCTTGAACCCAGGAGGTCAAGGTGAGCTGAGATTGTACCACAGCACTCCAGCCCGGGCAACAGAGCAAGAGCTTCTCTCAAATAAATAAATAAGGCAGGGCCTGGTGGTTCACTCCTGTAATCCCAGAACTTTGGGAAGCCGAAGAGGGTGAATCACTTGAGGTCAGGAGTTCAAGACCAGCCTGATCAACATGGTGAAACCCCATCTCTACTAAAAATACAAAAATTAACCAGGCATGGTGGTGTATGCCTGTAGTCCCAGCTACTCAGGAGGCTGAGGCAGGAGAATGGCTTGAACCTGGGAGGTGGAGGTTGCAGTGAGGTGAGATCGAGCCACTGTGCTCCAGCCTGGGTAGCAGTGCGAGACTCTGTCTCAAAAATAAATAAATAAAAATAAATTGTTCTGCCTTCATATTTTTCAGCTTGATAGAATGTGTGAAATGCTTCTTATCCAAAAATTTTTCTGCATACTTGTTACCTTAAGCTGTTACAGGATATAGCAAAGTCAGGCATCAATCTAAACTTTTTTCCTTCTTGCTATAAGAAACATTTTAACAACAGAAATATCACAGATTTTATAAATGTTAAAAATCTATATTAAATATGTCTAATTTGATCAATGTCATTGTATGTCATCAGAAGTATTAGGGAAGAGTGTGTGTGTGTGTGTGTGTGTGTGTGTGTGTTTTTTAAATATATAACAGCTGCTATGTGTGGACTGCCCGGACACAAACTGAGTGTTTTCCCCTTGGAGGCAAATGTGAATCAGAATAAAGCATTCAAAGCCTCTAAGCTCTGGTGCTGATCTTTTTAAATTGTGGACACCAGAGAGTGTGAGGCTAGAAGCCCAAATCTGCCCTGTCCTGTCTAGCTGGGTGAACCAGGACACTCTTAACATCCCTGCTAATCATGGGAAACAAGATCACTCTTGCCACCCTCCCCAGTACACAGGTTTATTTTAAGAATAAAATTAGATAATCAATGCAAGAGATTTTTTAAAATGTAGGTGCCTATCATGATGTAACTTCATACAGTTCAACAAGGAGGTTTAAACAAAGCATGAGAAGCAGAACTAAGCTATTCCTCTAAATACTCAAACACCCTTTCTAACTTTTGTCCAGAGTAGAACATCATGTCTCTCTTCTTGGCAGCTTTCCTTTTTCCTTTTATTCAAGTAGCAATTGATGTGAGGCCAGGAAAAAGCCGTGACAGATTATTTCTTAATGGTATTGCCTTTGGGAAACCACAAATATAGAGGACAGTTTAATCCCAGAAAATTTGGCAGATCACCCTGTCAACAGAGCAGGAAAGTGCAACACATTCAAACTGAGGGCATGTTTCAAAGACTTCTGGGTGAAACGACTTCATAAGTGGTTCATTAGGCTTAAGAAGCAGAGAAAGAACTTTGAAAGCAATTTGTTTGCATTTCCTTTTAACTCTAGGCAATTTGGTGACCAGGCAGAATTAAGTAATTTTTGAAAGGTGTCTCTATTTTTCAACATAGGCAAGTGAAAGACTGTTTTCAGGGGGTGCTGCTGGGGCCTGATGCAAACCATGTTGACTTGACCTGTGGTTTGTGCGCAGAAAAAGAATAGCTAATGTTTTGCCCACCTTCAATAGTTACAGGTCAGTTCACCCGGAAGCCAGGGGCCATCTCAGTGAAGCGCTCACTGAAGACACAGGAGTTGGGACCAGTGTGGCAGGAAGTCCTCTCCCACTGACCACAGGCAACGAGAGCCTGGACATCACCATCATCAGGCACCTCCAGTACTGCACCCAACTCGTGCAGGTAGGATCAGCGATGAATTTGTGTTTGAGATGCCAGGTGATTTACATACCAGGAAGTGTGCTTTCAATTTTTAGTGTTGCCAGGGAAATGAGAATTCAGGAATAAGAGAACAGTCTTGCTCTGGTTTGAGCCAAGTCAAAAACTGATGGGCCTGCCCAACCCTCTACAACCTTGGGTTTTTCATCTTCGAACCTAACTCTCCAGACCTTAACAGTAGTAGGTAGAATATGGTTAGCTCTCACTGTTGTCTCATTTGGTAGTAAATGAGAATAATATGATTAAGGGGGTGGCGAGGGGGAAAGCATTTGTATTCCACCATCTGCAATGGAGTTTGAAAGCCAGTAGTACTGAATATATATTAATGTGAATGTCAAATGAATTACTTTTTCACCACCTGGAGAGCTAAAAGAAAGTGTTAAAGAATCTAACCACAGTCTCCTGGATCTTGAATAAGTACTTCTTATTAGCAATGCTAAGAGATATTTCTCTAGGCCATCATCATCACCATTTAGCTTTCATTCTGGGACACCACAGAGCTGATTTTTCTTCTCATCCCAAGCTGTTTACCACTTAAGGTTTTTCCACAGTGGCGCAAATGTTCTGAAATTCTTTTGTTGCAGGAAGGGTTTCAGCTGTCTTGAACAAAGCATTTTTCCTCAAGCATCTACTTAAGAGCTTTCTCCTTGCCTGGTTGCTTTTCTTCTCCTAATATCATTCTTCTCCCAGCTTGCTTGGATGTATGTGAAACAGGAAGAGAATGCAAAAGCTAATATAATGGTTCCAGACCAGGCACAGTGGCTCACGCCTATAGTCCCAGCACTTTCGGAGGCCAAAGCAGGAAGATTGTTTGAGCCCAGGAGTTTGAGACTAGCCTGGTCAACAGAGTGAAACCTCATCTCTACAAAAGATACAAAAATTAGTCAGGCGTGGTGGCACACGCCTGTGGTCCCAGCTACTCAGGAGGCTGAGGAGGGAGGGTTGCTTGAGCCTGGGAGGCAGAGGTTGCAGTGAGCTGTGAAGGCGCCACTGCACTGCAGCCTGGGTAACAATGGTTCTACTCCTTTCTGTGTCTCTCAGAGACCTGTCTCGATCACCTGATAGGCACAGATGCAGAACATGGACCTGTACTACCATGCTGAATTGTCTAAGGTATTTGGACTCTAAAACAAATAGGATTTGCAAACCCAGCACTTTGGGAGGCTGAGGCCTCATTTAAAAAAAAAAAAAGAAAAAAGTGTCAAGGGGATCAGCCAAGCAGGAAGGGTGCAGAAAGAGGAGGAATTGTTGTAACCCAAAAGCACAGAGCCTGTTGGAAGACAAGAGTCAGGGTGAGGAGCCAGGGGTCCCTTGGGAGCCCAGCAGAGGGGCAGGGTTGCCTCCTTGGTAACACACATGTAAGGAGAATATGCTTCTCCACCGGAGATGAAGAGCATCAGAGAAGCCTCAGACAACTGTGTGCTGTGGGAGACTGGTCGGCAATTATAACTCCTGCCACTTGGTTAGCCAACACTTAGTTGAACTCTTCTGTTGAGTTTCAAGGTCAAAAACCACCAAGGTCTCACCAACCATGAGACTGACAACCCATCTGGTAGAATGTGCATTTTTTTTTTCTGATCAAAATAGACAGGGATTTTTACTTATGTATAACTGTTTTCTACTCACCAACCATTTGAACGAGACAGCTCTTTGTCCTTGCTGACCTTGATACTACGCCAAGCAAACTACTTGTTTCTCTTTTAGAGAAAAATAGCTGTTTTGTGAGACATAAAAGAATTCTTGTCTATGAAGGAGTGACTGTTTTCTCGCAAAGACTAATTGGCATGTTTTTAGTGTAAGCAGTCAATGAAGTGTTTCTCTCAGTAATAAGGCCATGATTATAATAATTCAGCCTTTCTGTGGGGATGAGCAATGGTACAAAAACAGAAGAGGTGGATATAAAGATGTAGATTGAAGGAGTGAGGATTAGAAACTTCTCACTTGCATTGATTCATGTGTGAGCTTACTTATTTGTTAGGTATATAATCACAGAGAGATAAAGATGTGCATTTTCTAAGAATCATAATCACTACAATTATTTTCAAAATAAAGCAGTTCATTGCTGTTGTATTTACTCACAAGAAAGGTGTTAGTACATAATTGCTGCACTAGACTTTTTTTTTTTTTTTTTTGACAGAGTCTTACTCTGTCACCCAGGCTGGAGTGCAGTGGCACAATCTTGACTCACTGCAGGTTTCAAGTGACTCTCCTGCCTCAGCCTCCTGAATAGCTTAGACTACAGGCCTGCACCACCACGCCTGGCTAATTTTTGTATATTTAGTAGAGGTAGGGTTTTGCCATGTTGGCCAGGATGGTCTCAATCTCCTGGCCTCATGATCTGCCTGCCTCAGCCTCCCAAAGTGCTGGGTTTGAAAATCCTATTTGTTTTAGAGTCTCAATACTTTAAACAATGCAACATAGTAGTACAGGTCTGTGTTCTGCATCTATGCCTACCAGGTGATCGAGAGAGGTCTCTGAGAGACACAGAAAGGAATAGAACCATTGGGCAGCAAGTGACTTATATTCTTTCCTCTCTTAGGCCTTCTCATTCTTGTGAACTGCACACAAATGAACCCACTTACAACTTATGTGACCTTAGGCAGGTTGCTTAACCTCTCTGTGCCTCAATTTTCTCATCAGTAAAATGGGGATATCAATAGGACCCGCCTCACTGGGTTGTTATGAGAAATAACATAAGCTAACACTTATACAGGACTCAGACCAGTGGCTGGCACATAGTAAGCACTCATTTGTTATCAAGAGACAGCTCTGATTGTAATTATCATTATTATTTAACCTGCCCTTAACTTTCAACTTGAACACACACACACAAAAATAAAACCATGCTGTGAAAAATTACTGCATTTGTAAGACAAATCTATTTCTGCTTACACACCAAGACACAGCCTAAACTGCCACTTACGTTTCAAAGGGGAAGATCAGATTCATAGTACATAAAAGGGAAGGCAGCTTTATAATAACGTTGTAGACCTACTACTGAGAAAGTTCCAGAATTTATGCACACATGAAGAAATGCAAAGCAACAAAAACATGCCTGATTTCATCAGATGTTGTAACTGGCATGGAATGAGGATCATTATCAAGCTGGAAGAAAAACATTGCATGAGTTTATTTAGTATCATCACCACATTCAGGAAGGATGAAGCTGGGTAGAGAAAGCTCTACTGAAAACAACATAATTGAAACAGTGGTTTTGTTTGTTTTACCAGCAAATAGTTTTCTCAAGCAAAATCCCATTTGTGGCAAGAAGTCTCTTAGAGAAGCTTTCTAGGCAGATTCAAGTGATGGAGAAACTCGCTGCTGTGAGTGATGAGAACATAGGAAATATCAGTTCTGTTGTGGAAGGTAAGTATCTGGCAATTACACCGCTATTCATGTAAATAATGACACCACTAGCCCAGTCCACTCCCTATGCATGTTCATTGCTTTGTTGGAAAAACAGAAAAGCATTCTTAGGTCACAGGATTGAGAAAGGTCTCCAAACAAATTGGACTCATTAATGTCACATTTCGGCTTTCTGAGTCAAAGCAGCAGACACACAGTTTTTTTCCAGAGGGCCTCCACCTCCGAAAGTCAGACACAGAAACAGAAACAGCACCCACTTCACAGGCAGAGTTTCACACACTTTCTGCTGGTGCGGTTCCCTTTAGGGACAGATGACTATAGGATGTTCTTGCCCCCTGGAGGTGGCTAAGACAACTCCTATAGTGACTGTCAAATGGAAGATCCTGCCAGACCCTGCTCGGGAAAGGTACAAATACATGCATGCAAACACCTCCAGGAGAGTTCCTGATTCTAAGAGTTTTAGATGAAGAATTTGACATGGGAAAGATGCCTTTGAATTTGTGTGATCTGGCTATGGGGCACTTTTGTAGAAACCAGAATTTATATCTTTTTTCATATCAGATATTCAGCAGAAATAGGGTCTTCCAGGTAATCTCTGATTAAACCTAAAACTTCCTCTATCTTATTCTCCCTGTACATTTCTGCCTCCCACATCCATTCCCAGTAGAAGTAGGTGACCTTGGCCAGTTTCTGAGGGGCATGAAGAGGGGCAGGACATTCAGGCTGTGAGTGACTTGTGTCCTCTCCTCTCCCAGCCCCGTCCTCATGTTCATGACACATACAAGTGAAACATTGTTCCTATGCCACCTGGTACCATGCTGTTCAGTCATTTCAGTCAGGGAACCACCTGGGCAGGGTAAAAATTTCCTCCAGCCACCTACCGCTACCTCCCATCCCCTTCAGAAAACGCTCCTCAAGTTTGAGTCCTCGATCCTGTATGATTTCTGCTGTGGAGTTACAGGAAAACCCATGATTGGAACGTTTCCCAAGGGTGGAGCTCCTGTGTTTCCTATCACTCACAGCAAGCAGCCTTGTGTTTGCTCTGTTTTCTTTGCTGCCCAGGCAGGATGAGTTCCTGTCATAACTTCTTTACCCTTTGGGCCGTCTGCCAACCACAGAGGAATCTGCTAGTTCCATCTGAAAACTAATCGCAGTCTTATGGGGAGGAAAAAGGTCCCTAAAGACCTCCCCCGACACACCCTTTCCCCAACACGTCTTTATCTGCTTCATTTAAAATGTGTTATAGCCTGGCGCGGTGGCTCACGCCTATAATCCCAGCACTTTGGGAGGCCGTGGTGGGTGGTTTGCTTGAGGCCAGAAGTTCGAGACCAGCCTGACCAACATGGTAAATCCCCATCTCTAATAAAAATACAAAAATTAGCCAGGTGTGGTGGTGCATGCCTGTAATCCCAGCTACTTGGGAAGCTGAGCAAGAGAATCACTTGAACCCAGGAGGCGGAAGTTGCAGTGAGCTGAGATCATGCCATTGCACTCCAGCCTGGGTAACAGAGCAAGACTCTGTCTCGAAAAGATAAAATAAAATAAAATGTGTTATGAGATGGGGGGTTGCTCTTCTTTTCCAGCCATACCAGAATTTCACAAAAAGCTGTCTTTGCTGTCATTCTGGACCAAGTGCTGCAGCCCTATTGGTGTCTACCACAGCCCAGCGGACAGAGTGATTAAGCAACTGGAGGCCAGCTTTGCCAGAACCGTCAACAAAGAATATCCAGGACTTGCAGACCCAGGTACGAGGCAGCAGTAGAGAGAGAATTTCTGTCCTTCGGTGTGAGAGTGGGCTTTGCGGCGGGATCCGGGGGGAGGGGTTCCTCCTACCACTTGCCTGCGGATGGGAAGCACACAAAAGGCCAGCCCTGAAAAAAGAAGTGTACTGTCCAGGGAAAACATCATCTACTCAGATTTAAGAAAAGAAAGATGTTGAACTGTTTTAATTCAGAATATCAGCAGTGACATTTAAAGCTACTACATTTTAGCCAGGCACAGTGGCTCACATCGGTAATCCCAGCACTTTGGGAGACC